TAATTGTTCACAGTACTAAACAGATTGTAAAATAGAATGAAGTTAAAAAAAACGTTTACATAATATAGCAATGCCATAAAACAGGCGACATTGTCAAATATCCTCGTCCAATATACATAACTTAATACCCATAGTCTCCATATAGTCGTCGTGTAAATATCCATAGTCCATAATAACTAAATTACAAAGTAAAAGAAGAGTGTGTATTTTATTCCATGGTAAAGCTCAGGACCCTCCTTAACACTCACACTTGACGGTTTTCAGTTTTCACCGTACTGTTAAAAACGGTTTTGGCGACGGCAGAAACCCGTTTAGTCTTGCAACCGCGTGAGGCATCTGTTTCACATATAGGCTACCCGGGTGTTGAGTGTTGGGTGTCGTTTAGGTTTAAACGGAAATTGGATGAAGAAACATAATATGCACGGGTGCACCCTCGAAGAAGGCCGGCTGCCGGTCAATTGTGACTGTCACAGTTTAACAATCACACAACCGGCAACTGTCGTCTGTCATCCATCGAAACAGGATGTTGATTGATTGATTCTGTAGGGGCGGACCTTGTCCTGTAGCACGTCAGCCACAGATGGGCTTTTTGCGCTCCCCACATGGTACTTCAGAGTCCGTCAAACCTGAGTTGCTTAATGAACTTCAGCATCCTGTCTATATGAGCTCCTCCTGATGAGGATATGGTGTCTGCCACTTGTCATTGCACCAAGAGTACTGTCCCTACCTCGTTCAGAGCTGTGCAGTCGTAGAGTAGGTCTCCTATGATTGCACACATTTCCTACACACAGAGTCTCTATTGTGGATCCTCAAGCGATGCAGGTACAATTTCAGGAAACCATGGCCAGTGACCATTATTCCTGTTATCTGTCTGAGTTGCCTCCTGTCTCAACGTAGAGCATTGGAGGCGACCGTCTGAGAAGGGGAGAAGAGGGTGACCTTACTTACCCTGTGGTGCTGAAGTCTAACCCATCTTTTCCTGTGTTCCTCCTGAGCGGACTATTAGCCACTATAAGCTATGCCCCATTTTCACAATAATTATAAGTTATGGAAAAAATTGCAATTATAAGCTATAAAGCTATGCCTCCTTTTATAAGGTATGAACCGTCGCGTCGGGTCGGTTGGTCGGTTCGGTAGTCGCTCTCGAGACCAGTCGCAGTCGGAGTCGGTTCAGGGGCCCTATTTTTGAAATGGTTGACTGTTGAGTTGAGTGTCGAGTCATTCTATTTCCAATCGTTTCGTATTTTTGAAACGGTTGACGGTGGACTTATACAATGTTCAGAAAACTGTCAATCTCAATCAACCTGCTTCTACTTACCTGCTCAACAATTTTGCTGTACCCGAGGTCACCTTCAGATGGAAGCCAGTGAGCTGTGATGATGTCGCAAAGTTGATACTAAACATGAAAAGTGGAAATTCCAAAGACATATATGGTATCAATAGTGATTTTGTAAAGGAAGTGGCCCACTGTATAGTGGCACCACTTACACATTGCATAAATGATTGCTTCACTAGTGGTGTCTACCCCTTGTGCCTGAAATCCTCAAAAACTGTACCAATCTACAAGAAAGGTGACACAAGTTCTCCAGGAAGCTACCGGCCGATCTCTGTGGTGCCTTGTTTTTCCAAAATCGTTGAATCAGCAATGAAACACCAGGTAAACGATTTTTTTGAGACAAATTTTTTGTTTTCCAAATTTCAGTTTGGTTTTCGGAGAGGGCTGTCTACTGTGGATGCGGTCGAGAGCCTTGTACAGAAGGTCGTAGATGGTTTTGAAAACCACTCACACACTTTAACAACTTTATGTGACCTTACCAAGGCTTTCGATTGCGTTCCGCATGAGATACTCCTCACGAAATTAAGGCATTATGGCATTGTTGGTGTGGAGCTTAGCCTATTTCAATCTTACTTAGAAAATCGCTCGCAGAGAGTTTTGTTCAATAATGCCCTCTCTGACGTAGCTCTGATCAAAAGTGGAGTACCGCAGGGTTCGGTACTGGGCCCATTCTTGTTCCTTGTACATGTAAATGATCTCTCTTCAAACATAGATGTAAACTCAGTTGTCTTTGCAGATGATACAACCTTTTTTTGTACTGGTTCTAATGTAAATAGTCTTATATTGTTAATGAATAATGCTCTAAATGATGCTAACTCTTGGTTTGAAACAAATGGGTTGCTTTTGAATGACTCTAAAACTCAGAATATTTTATTCACTCTTGGTAAACCTGATCTTGAGCTTTTAGATGTGGAAAAATATGTCAAACTTCTGGGAATCTGGCTTGATTCTTCTCTCTCTTGGTCTTCCCATATTGAATCCCTGTGTGTTAGGCTCAACAGGGTAATTAATCTGTTAAGAAAACTTAGAAATCTTGTACCTAAGCCATATCTGAAGATATCTTATTATGCTTTTTTTAATGGCATCTTGAGTTATGGTCTGTTATTGTGGGGAAATGGAGCAGATGTCAAAAAACTTCTTGTGCTACAGAAAAAGGCCGTTAGGATTGTAAGTGGTGCGCCCTTGGATGCACATTGCAGGCCTCTGTTTCAGTCTGAACAAATACTGACTATTGTAAATATGTATATATTTGTCTGCTTGGTACGAGTTAAAACAAAACTAGAGAGTTACACGTGTAGAAGCTCGGTGCACTTGCATGTGACCAGAAACAGTAATCTGCTAGATTTACCTTTTGCGAGACTATCCAAATCAAAAAAGTGGTTTAGTAATGTAGGAATATCAATGTTTAATAAACTTCCTAGCACAGCACGTAATGTTAGCATGAGTAGGTTTAAGCATGTTTTGCATGAGTGGCTTGCTCAAAGGCCCTTTTATAGCCTAGAGAGTTATTTTCAGGAGGATTTTAGTAGCATGTTATTTTGACTTGCCAACAATTACTCAATGCCTGTAATTCTCTTATTTATTTGCATGTTGAGTATGACCATATGATCTGTATGAACAATTGTTGACCTTTTACTGTCTTGTTTCTGATAGGCTCGATGCTTGCATAGCTACATTTTTATTTTTTGATCTATTATGACTGCCCAGACAAATGTTTTGTCTATTCATGTTTTACCGGATCTAGTTTTATTTTCTTGGTTAAACTTGAACCTCATTTGTTGTTGACTTTGTCATATGCATGTACCTTGCAAATTACGGCAATAAAAAGTTTCTGATTTCTGATTTCTGATTTACAACCAAAACTACTCAACACCTATCGAGCTGTTGAGTGGAGGTTGACTGCACTTTCTTCTTCCTCTCTTTCGGCAAAAAATTACTCTTTTTGAGACGACGCCATATTGTTTTGTTATTGCTTTAATTTACTAATTGCGATTTAGAGGTTATGTATTCGTTGTCAATGTATTAGCACCCAATTATGCGATTGTTTTCTGTAGAATAATCGCATTTTAATTTTATTTACTGTGTCAATACTAGACTATTTAATCAAGGGTTTTATTCTTGTTGGAATGTTTGAAATACCTAGACTAGGCATACTAATTGAACTTATTATAGTATAGATTATTGTTATTAGACCTATGATTTAAGGTATTAAAGATTGTGGTAGAGAGAAACAATATCATAGTTTGTTTCAATACCATTCACCTAATAAAGGGATCAAATTAATTTAAGTTACGATATGCTTTCAGTGCAATGGCAAATAGCCGCTTTAACCTAAATAAAATAACAATTAAAAATAACATAAAACAAACCGATGAAGGAAACTAAAATAAGGTGATGTGTTCCGAAATAGAGACGAAGAAAGCAAATAATAATGTATTTAGGATGAGTGTAGGTGTGTAGGACCTAAATTAAAGTGCAGCCTATGCCTAAACTTATAATTAGCTACACCCTAAAACAAACATCCATAGTAAATTTTATTTTTAATACTTAAGTTTATTACTTTATTTAGTTTACTTTAGTTTATTACTTAAGTTAAGGTACTTTGCAATCACTAAGATTAAGCAAGACATAACCTCAATCTCAATCTCTCAAGAACGGAGTTGACAGTTTACCTCAGTGTCTCGAAATATGGCAGATTGAGATTAGCTGCCAGATTTTAGGGTCTGACTTAGGGGAGGTACAAATGAGGCATTTAGTTCAAAATTCCTCCGCGAACAGCGCTGTAGTAGTAGTAGAGAGCACTTTGGCAATGAAGGTTTACTAATCGCAAAAATAGTTCTGTTCATAAAATAAAATTATAAATTCCTCAAATTCAATTTTACTATTTTTTAATTATAAAATTAAACTATCATAACCTAACCGAACTAACCAAACTTGCTGATAAAGAAATAATATAACAAAAGTTTAGTAATCGGAAAAATAATTCTGTTTATTAAATAAAACTAGAAATTGCTCAATTAAAATTTTATAATGACTTAATAATAAAATTAAACTGTAATAACCAAACCAAACCAACCAAACTTGCTGATAATAAAAAAATATTGGACAAAAAGTTAACGCTACCAGCGGGATTCGAACCCGGGACCTACAGTATATCAGCCCGGCACGCTAACCAATAGACCACCGAGGCCGATGGCTGTTGAATGTTTTGTTAAGGTAATGGCGTTCCCTCAGCTAATAAGATCTCAGCTGTCATTGTAGCCTCTTCTATACCTCCCCTGAGTAAATACCCAGATTTTAGAGTAAGAAGAGGTTAAATCGAAGTCCGCAAAAACTCTGCATTGTGATTGGTTCAAAATGACGTCATCTGAATTTTTGACGGTCGTATGCTCTACATTTCCACCACGAGTCACTCAACTAGTGATTCCCAACTCGCTTCCCAACTGTTGGGTTTCAAAAATACCAAATCATGTTGTTGGTTGAGTTGAGTGCTGACGATCGACTCAACTGCCAACCATTTCAAAAATAGGGCCCCAGTACTCAACTCAGTACTACTCACTCCACTCCACTCGGTCTCGGTTCGGTTCGGTGGTGTGGTGGTGGTGTGGTGTGGTGGTATATATATAGTGAAGTGAAGTGAGGTTGAGAATGAGGTAGTGGACAGTGGTTGGAATGGTATGGTATCCGACAACAAATTCGTAAATAAGCAAATAACTTAAGCTTATTTCATAATACCATTGAGTTGATTGAATAGTTCAAATTGTTTTAGGGCAACCCTTTGATACCACACCACATTATTAGTCTACAATGTATGAAAATTAGTTGGAATTGTAAGTGTTGAACTTAATTTTATAGCTTAGGAATAGGCCTAGGCCAGATTAATTCCAAGATCAGTCCTAATAACTTAAGGAGTAGAACCTGCTTAGTATACTTGCCTTGGGTTGGGTTACTGAATCTTGCTTAAAGGGTGTATGGGCTAACTCATAATCTTATTCCTACTAAGTTTTTAAATCAATGGGCCTCCAGGGTAGGCCTATGTATGATTGAAATAATATGGTTAGGCTTATTTATAGGCCTAGGCCTAAGTTAAGTTGGAATTCTTGACTTTTTGAAACTTAACCTGCCAGTGAGTACCCCAGGATAACCTAGGCCTGAGTTATTCAAGAAGTGTTAGAAGCTGCTAGGCTATAACTTGTTGAATTCGCAGAGGATACGCGTCCGGTAGCAGGACGTGGATTAGGCGTCCAGCAGAAATACCTACTTGGGTCTTAAAATATTGGTAAAACTGAACTTATACTACTTATGTTATATTGAACTTTTTTTGCCTTATCTACCTAAATTAGACTATTTTAAGCACTTTTTACCATTGGCACTTTTGGGGGAAACGCCTATTTCACCCTGAAAAACGTGTTTGAAAATCAATAAAAATGCTAGGAATCTATGATTTTCATGTAAAACATTTTGGGTACAATTTCTTAACTGGACTAACTTATGCTAATATCTATTGAAACTATCAAATTCAAAATATTGTTTAATAATCGATATATTTACCAGCTATATAAGTTATAAAATTAAACTATCATAACCTAACCTAACCAACCAAACTTGCTGTTAGTGAAAACATCGAATGAAGGTTTACTAATAATCGGTATTATCATCGCTAAGTTAAGAAACTGTAGGTAGGTACCCAAGACCCAACTTATTTTTACTACGTGTCAATAACTTAATAGGACTACCGGTAACCTAACCTAGCATAGCATAACCAGGGTTTACCCAAAATCGGACATTTTGGCACATTGTAAACCTAAGCATGGGTTAGGTTGGGTTGGGTTAGGTTAGGTTAAGTTAGTATTTAATTTGGTTTACCCAAAAATGGGGTACCCTAATTTTTAATACCCTACTTTACTATTTTTCACGATTTTCAAACCTGGTTTCCTGGGTAAAAACGGCATTTGCCAAAAAAGTGTTTAAAATGGACTAGTAAAAAAACCCACCCTAAGTTAAAAAGAAAATTATCAAGCCCCAAAAATCATTGATTTCTAGCATTTTTCTTGATTTTCAAATGTGATTTTCAGGGTGAAATAGTCGTTTCCCCCAAAAGTGCCAATGGTAAAAAGTGCCCAAAATAGTCTAATTTAGGTAGATAAGGCAAAACAAGTTCAATATTTTAACATAAGTAGTATAAGTTCAGTTTTACCAAAATATTTAATAAGTTTCCTGTTGATTTCAGCTCTTTGCCTTTAAATGTATTCTCTGACAAACTGTTAAAGTGGTGCAAAATCAATCCAATGTATAAAATAGATGATTTTTTGATGATTCAAAAACAAGGATCTAGATTTTTAAAAAGTAACCTTTATTTATATGTTCTGTTTGACAAAATCTATTGTAATTTTGTAATTACTGAACGATGAATAAATTGTCTACTGTCATAACCTAACCTAACCAACCAAACTTGATGATAATGAAAAAAATTAAATGAAATGAAGGTTCAATTCTCTTCATAACATAAAATTATAAATGCCAAAAATTCTAACAAAAGATGTACACTTAAGAAGAAATTACATTCAAAGCAAAATCTGTGACAAAAAGTTAAAGAAACCGATGGGTTTCGAACCAGAGACCTCTTGGATAGGCTATCAGCCGAGCACTCTATCCACTACACCACGAACAACGCTGGCCGAACATCGTATCGTTGTGGTAATGGCGTTCCGGGACCCCACAACCCGGTGACGTCACTACCGGACGCCTAATCCACGTCTGGTTACCGGACGCGTATCCTCTGTGTATTGAATTTGTCCTCGTCAAATAATTATTTTAGTCTAGGCCTTTGTATTTGGGATCTTGTGAAACATCTTGGTGCACATTTGGGCCTAAGTTAACTTAGGCTACTTGTGCAATTTTGTTCTCTAAAATGAGATTTAATCCTTTGAGTGCCGCGCAACGATATACCGTATCGTTTGCACAACATCTGAAAAATAAGTTACTTCACAACGATATTATCGTTGTCGGTAGTCTTACCAAAAAATACATTGCAATGATAAGTTAAGTAGCCTATATCGGGCCGGTGCGATTTTCAATCATGTGAGAAAGGGCATATCGGTTGACTTTGTTGTTATTTTAAAACAACGATGATTTCAATCGATTTCTCATACGATCAAGGCACGATAAGTTATATCATTCCATGGCACTTTTGGGATGAAAATTTATACTTTTACAGATTTTTATTCTTGTGCACTACGCTTTGCCCCCACGGAAAGTCTGGCACTTTTCAGACATAGCTTACCTAGTAAAAAAAGTCTGGCACTTTTCGTAAAGTAGGTACCAAAATAAATTTCTAGCACCCAAAGGGTTTTAATTTACTTAACTTAAGTTTACTTAGGCCTAATAATGAAGATGGATATATCATTGTGTTATACCATTATTTTTCACCGCTGATGAATATTTCTCAAGATAAAACTTATCACCTTAAAAACATACAACATTACAATAAACAAGGTAGGATGGATTACATTTACAAGTGGAATGAAACTGTGGGTAACTAAGCCTACAGCTGACTGTTTTCAACCATACGACAAGCAACTGGAAGTAACAACTTTTGAATATTAACTCACTCTGATTCTATCATCGGCATTATGCCTAGTGACGTCATTTTACTTCACTGCAACTAGAACTCAAAACAAAAATACTCATACTTATACGTGCTGTGTAGTGCTAGTCTGCTATGCCGTTACAAGTCCAGGTTAAGTGAAGAGAGTAACATGGTTGATGAGAAGAAGAACATCGTTGATTAAACATGATAGCATAGTTGTAGAAACATTTCAAGTGATTCTGTAGTCAATAATGTTTTCTATAATAGTAATTTCGTCACATTATAGAGATATAGATGGACTGGTGGACTAATTACATACTGTAGTTCTTATTTAGGTATGTCAGGGTGGTAGGTCGTGCTGTATGTGAATTGGTGACTGCATTAAGTGTTTTGAAGTTACCGTAGGTTAGATTAGGAAGGTAAAGTTTCTAGGTTATATGTATCGAGTTGTTAGTTTATGTCGCCTGCAGACTGTTTTTGTAAAATTAAAATCCTGAGAAAAACACTTCAAATAACTAGGCCTATTTCAAAAAAAGATATAGGCCTAGGCAAGCAGCAGCCGGCACAAAAAAATTAATTGCCCTGCTCCAGATTATCCTAAAAAAATTCAGCTGTTTTGTGTTCTTCTCACCATCAAGCCTTTAAAAGTTACTTGTATAGGCCTATAGTTTACTTTACTTTTCCCGCAGTTATTACCCTTCTACACTATAATACAAGTTACACAGTTTTACAGTAGGCTTTGCTAATCTGTACTTAACTCAACAATACACAGATTCATTATATTTTTTATGTAGGCTATGTAGAATATATAAATTGTATAATAAAAGGTAATAGGCCATCTATACTTATTATATAAAAATCTAATGGTGTCTGTCTGTATGTGTATTACTAATAGGTGAAAAAACTACTGAACCAACTGGGCTTAAATTTTACAAAAATATAGCTACCATACCAAGGACCATTATAGGACTATTCACCTTTCGATACTTACCGTAGGCTTTGCCCCTTTGGATTTAAAAGTTCTGAGGTGAACATTTTAAAAGTAAATATTGATTGGTCTCCATGGCTGTGATGAGAAAACTAACAGTGTTTGTTTACATTTGCTTTGACATTTAAATATAAACAAGAAGAACTGCTAAACTGTATATTTCACAATTTCAGACAGCTGATACAAAGAAATTAAATATAATATTTTCCATAAATATGAAGTAGGTTTATTTTAATCTAACCTTTTATGATGGATTATTTATTCTAAAACTATGTCAATGATTATATAAAAAAAGATTTTATAACCGTTGCTGTATCAACTCCGGCTCTGCTTTGGATTTTTTAAAGCGTCTTAAGTTAATAATCTTAAGTGAAAATAATGTTATTGATATGTTTTCATGGAAACAGTATGAAAATTACAATGTATAGATGTTTTGTATGAATTTGGAGGCTACTTTAAATAAATTCTAACTGCTTCACATGTTAGATTAACTTAACATAACTTGCACATCACATTGTGTTTTATATGTATATTTAGGTAAATTAAGTTATTGTGTTTTGCTAAACCTATGCTTAAATTAAACTAAAGAATATCATCAATAACTATTGTCGTTGATTTTTGTTTTCTAAAATATGTTGAATATGTGTAACTATATTTAATTATCAAATGGTAATACAAAATACTCTTATTTTATCTTAACATAGCTTTCAGTTCACATTTACTTTATTTGATACATTTATTATTTGTGTTTTGTTTTGCCACACCACTGATTAAATTAAACCAAGGACAATATAATAAAACTAAGCAGTACACATAGTGTTCTTTTGTTTCTAAAATCAATGAAATATCTGTTACTATGTTTTCTTAATGGTAAGTGTGAAAATGTAAAGGCAAGGGACGATGGAACTGATTAAAAGAACTGGTTTGTTGTTTGTTGATATTTTTGTATTGTAGAATCAGAGATGCAATTAAACATATACTGTATTTGCTATTATATTTTTTAGTCCTTGATGCTTTGATAATCATATTAGTTTTGTCTGCTGTCTTTAATGCTAAATTATTTGTTTGAAATTTTTTATAGTACCTATAGATATATTTTTTCTATGTTTCTTTAATATTTCAAAAGACTGTATTGATAAGGCACAGCAATATTTCTAAAGTTTATAACAGCTGACTTAGTTTTAGCTAATGATTTATTGTGAGTGAAAAAACTGAAGATGAAAGGATTTGTGATTTAATATAAAGAAGAGTTT